GCCTATGGGGGAGATAAAGCATGATTCTAGACCCAGCCTCTGAAATCCTTTCCAACTACCTAAAATCTGACCAACCACATTCTTGGCATCACTCTATAGTCTCCTCAGTTTTCTCTTGGATTTACTTATCGTGTAGTATTGAGTTCCAGACCCAGACCTCCTTCAATCCACATAGAAAATGGATTTCGTAGGCTTGCAACCCTGTGTCCAGAAATTCAGTCTTTAGTTTAATGATACTTACACTAAGGTGTATGAAATGCAGATCTACTTATGGTGACAACCTTTCAATATTTTATCTCACTTTACTGAAGAGAACCTGTTTGTATTAATTTATAACATTTAATACTTGTGACTAATAAATCCACATTTCCAAACAAAATAAAATTCAGCAACTCTCCTCCTATTGCACAAAGAGGTTCTCCATATAACTGACTTAGTAATGGGTAAAGCTTCTGTATCTTTGCAGAATTATTTTCACACTATCTTTACAGATTACTGTGGGACATACACTTGAACCATCTTCCCAGTCACTGGAATAGATCCAAAGCGAAACATTTTATTGCAAGATTTTAAAGCAGCCCTGGCCAGGGGAGAAAATAATATCCATATAAAGCTAGCAAATACAGCAATAAAATAGCATATCTACAAGGAGAAAGGGAGCAGGAAAAGGAGGAGAGAGGAAAGTAAGGGAAGGTGGGAAAGACGTGAACAGCAGGAGGAACAGCTCTGGCTCAGAAGAAGGAAAAACTGCTCTCAAGGAGCTGAGCGTGAAGAACAGCACAGCACAGCCCAGCCCCTTGGGAACCTCATTCTCTCCCCATCACACTTTCTAAGCGGAGGGCTGGAGAGGCAAGCCTGTGCTCACTGGCTAGGCACCCTGCAAGACACAGCAATGAGTTTAATTCGGTCTTTCCATTCAAGTAACTGACGCGACAGACAAGCTGAACAATAAAGATAACAAGATAGAATGTAAGTGTTTCTCACTAAGGAAGCTGAAGAGGTGGTTTATTGCTTCATTTAGAATTAGGGCATAGAGTCATCAGTTCCGTGTGTGGGGGAGGGGAGAAGTTGGAAGGTTGGTGAGTAAAAATGCAAAGTCTTCATTAGTTTAAAAATTAAATTGTGTTCTAAAAATCCAGATTAAAAGAATATATACATACATAAAACTTGTAAGTTGAAATGAATGTATGTCAAAGCCAAATAATTAAATACAAACTCCTTTTACTTACATGCCAAGATCTGAGCTCATAGCTCTGGATAAATAACAAGCTATAGTTCATTGACCTGTTTGGGTATTAATGAGCTCTTCGAATTTTTTTCAGCAATCACTTGGAAAATGGTAAGTAGAAAGTCGGTTCAACATTAACATTTCTCTGCTAGTGTAAGTCTACATTTAAGGCATAATTTTGCAAATTAAAATGTCAGGTGTATTTATTTTGAGATTATCTAGAGACATTCAATTTTGAATTTCTTGGACATTTAATATCCTTTTGTGTCCCCATATAAAACATTTATCTGTGTCAAAAAGCCCAAAGCCACTTGTAGATATACTTTTTCTTTTGCTGGCTATGTTAAGAATATCTACCTGTGGGAACTATAATAATTCCCAGCAATTTACTGTCTGGCCAAAAGTATCACATTTGCACATGATTTATTGATGAATAACTTGTGCAAGCTTAAGTAGCACTTCATCAATACATGTTTTCCTTAGCTGTTCTGGGACAGAAACAGTGCATCCCTTTCTGGCCTAATATTATATAGACTTATCCTAAATAGTTGAAAAACTCAAGATAGTTATTCAATAGTCAGGCTATTATGAGAAACTCTCATTGCCATGTTCACTGGGAGCTTATTATTAAGGATGTCGTTCACTACCACACTCACTGTCTGCTCCATTAAGCCCTCAGAGAGAAAATTCTTTCTGCTCTTAGTACCAGGATCAGTTACACACGTTGGCAACTGGGCCATTTTTACCTTATGATGGTAAGAGTATTTCCCTCACTGTATTAACTCACTGCATTTCCTCCCTTTTATTGGTTGCTAGAAAATGTGAAGCAAAAATTGAAGGGCCAGCTGTGCAAGTAAAGAAGATTCCATACCATATGTTGTCTACAGTAATAATATGTAATAGAAATCATTATTAATGCTAACAAGTATCGAGTACTTTCTGTTAAGCACTTTACATATGTTAGATTTCACTTAATATTCATAATAATACTAAAACATGAGAACATTTCTTTTGCCATCTTGACTGATGAGAAAACTGAAGTTTAGAGAGGTTAGCCAACTCCCTCAAGGCTACTGAGTTAGTAGAACACCGACTCCATTAAAGTCTTTCCAACATGGAAGACTGCTCTGTTAGTCTGCCTCCTGGTCCATCCATGCGTCTTCCCTGTTGAGTCTTTATTTCCTTTAACTAAGGAAATAAAGTTAATAGAAAAGAATTCTTTAGGGGCGCCTGGGTGGCGCAGTCGGTTAAGCGGCCGACTTCAGCCAGGTCACGATCTCGCGGTCTGTGAGTTCGAGCCCCGCGTCGGGCTCTGGGCTGATGGCTCAGAGCCTGGAGCCTGTTTCCGATTCTGTGTCTCCCTCTCTCTCTGCCCCTCCCCCGTTCATGCTCTGTCTCTCTCTGTCCCAAAAAAAATAAATAAATGTTAAAAAAAAAAAAAAAAAGAAAAGAATTCTTTGGAAAAACACCAGGGCTCTTCCAATCTCCTTCCAAAAAGGTATGTCCAAGCCACAATGTCCATCTGGCTCAAGCTACTTAAGTGTGGGGTGGCAAAGTTCTCTGATGCCATTTTTCCCCCAGAGTGACATGTGCTTTATGAAGACAGGAGAGATCATGGGAAGATCCATGGTTCAGTAAAGGATCAGGAAGGTCTCCTGAGTCTGGACGTTGGTGCTATGTGTGCTCAGTGGGGCCACTGTGTTGACTGCATGGTTTGTGTACAAAGACGCCTGCCAAGGGGTTGTGCACAACCATGGAGTTTGAACTCCAGCCTGTGCTCCAGATAGGGTTTCTAAATTCCCGACAGAGACATGAATATTCAAGATCAGAGAATAAGAAATCAGAATTCCCTCCCAATTCTGTGGAATTCTTAAAATAGTAAGTTATTCCACGTTTTTTCCCCAAATTTTACTTATATGTTTTTAGGTATTAATGACGACCATAATGGTGAAGAATTTCCATAATAATAAACAGTAAGTCACTTTTTGTGATAGAGATACTAAAAATTTCAGAGGTTTTTCTGTTAAAAAAAATACCCAAACCAGGGGTGCCTGGGTGGCTCAGTCAATTAAGCGTCGACTTTTGGTTTCAGTTCAGGTTCGATCTCACGGTTTGTGAGATTGAGCCCCACATTGGGCTCTGTGCTTGGGATTCTCTCTCTCCCTCTTTTGCTGCCCCTCCCCCCTCTCAAAAATTAACTAAATAAACATTAAAAAAACAAAGTACATCTATTGCAGTAACATGTAAAAATGATCTCCACCTGATAGCTGATAACACTAAAAGAGGGAGACATTACCACAAATAAATGCCAAATGGAAGTCATTTTAAATGCTGAAAGATGCTATAAAAATATTTACTATTTATAAGATATTATTCTTAAATTAAGTTTTAAATCAAAGCATTAACTGTCTATTCTAATAGTCTTGATTTTTGTTTCATGACAAATACACCAGACACACACAAAAAATTCTTCATTTTGCAATGCATTTTGCATTGACATTGGTCAAATGCATCTTGCATTTTGCATTGACATTGGTCAAATTGTTAGGAGGTCTTCAAAAGCATAGCCAAGGTGGGCATTAAGATTTGCTTCACAGAAGCTCATATCCTTTTTTAATGATGAAAATTTCTTCTGCTTGCCCAGATTCCAGTTTGGCCATTGAAATCTATGTTGCAATGGAGAATTAGAATACTTTTTCCCAATTTCCCAATTTCTTGACTAAGTTTTCTTGGGATTCAGGATTCAGGAAAACATAGAAATTTTTTTTCTGAGAAATGCAGGGAATTGCAGCTGGGGCCATGCTAAGAAAAGGGGCATATTTTTCTTGCAAAAAGAACTTTTTCAGCTACAATCTTGTGTCCATGCAGAAGACTTTTATCGAATTCACAAAAATGTTCACATAAACTATCTTACCTGTCAGCTTGGAAGGACCTCAAAGGCACCAGGAAAGTATCCTTAAGTACTTTGGGAGTCACATACACACCTTTACATATGCAAAGCCACTGGCAAATGCCCTTGGTTCATCTGATCAAAGACCTAGGAAGCTAGAGGAAACTAAGACCTAAGTAAAAATGTTATTTTTACAAGTGCTTCTGAACTACAGCTTTAGACATGGCCTACCTAGACATTATCAATATCAACGATCTATTAACATTCATCTGGGTTTTGGCAAATCATTTGTCTTGCCCTGCCCCCAACCAAGTCTTAAATACATTATATAGACCATTATTATGTAACATGTTTTCACATATGTTGAGAGTAATGGAAATGGACCAATACATATTTTAAGCAACTACAATGTACCAAACACTATGCTGCATCTTTCAAATATGTATTTCCAATGCTAAAGTTATCTTACAGGACAGGTATTAATTTTATTCCATGGGTTAAGAAAAATAAGGCTCAAAACTATAACCAAAAGCCACACTGCTAAGTGACACGGCCTAAAATTTATTTGTAGTACAACTTCAAAACTCCATGCTCTTGCCACCACACCATACCACAAATTGTAAAAGGATGGCAAGTCAATACCTGCTGGTTACTGTGGCCCAGGGGAGAGGGCTGGTACCAGGCAGCCTGGCTGCTCCGTGAGAAGTAACCTTACTATCCTCAGGGTAGTAAGACCTTCCCCTGTGCACACTTAAATAATAACAGGGATTTTTACTACCCTTATTTGAAAGAAACATACAATAAATGTGGAAGCAGAATATACCTTTTTGGGAAAGGAATTAAAATAATCATTGTAAACACAATACAAAAGGTCTGTCTTACCTTTAAATATTTCACCAGCTTCTGAATTTGCCAATATTCTGATGGCAAATCTGCATTTGCTTCCTGACGATCAAGTGGTTCTTCATCTTCCTCACTCTCTGAGGAGCTCTCACTAATGATTTCCTCAATCTTCTCAGTACTCTTACTAAGAACAATAACAACCACCACATAACATAAATATGTTTATGCTACAACACGGAATTGGTTATAATCGTTACTATTTCAGCAATACGAACTTAAGCAACGAGTTCTAGAAGACCTAACACCTTCTTAGTTCTTGATCTTTGTTAAGATCTAAGTGAGGAGATGAATAATTGCGTGCTGTTTTAAGAAAATAGAAATGAACAGGAAATTAGTATATGTCCTATGGCTGTGCTGTACAAAAAGATAGCCACCAGTCATAGTATTTAAATAACTTGTGTTATTTATATGTTTATATTTATTTAAATGTCTTTATTGAATTGAAATAGAATACAATTAAAAATTTAGTTCTTCAGGGGCGCCTGGGTGACTCAGTTGGTTAAGTGTCCTTCAGCTCAGGTCCATTATCTCATGGTTTGTGAGTTCCAGCCCCACATCAGGCTCAGTGCTGACAGCTCAGAGCCTGGAGCCTGCTTTGGATTCTGTGTCTCCCTCTCTCTCTGCCCCTCCCCGGCTCATGCTCTGTCTCTCTCTCTCTCTCTCAAAAAATAAACGTTAAAAAAAATTAAAAAAAAATTAGTTCTTCAGTTGTAGAAGCCACATTTCAAGCACTCAACAATCACATGTGGCTGGTGACTACTATACCAGGTAGCTCAGATATAAACCATTTCTATTATCATGGGAAGTTTAATCGGGCAGTGCTGCAAACGCCTCACAGGGAGAGTGTCTCCCTTATGGAAGAAAGTACACTTTTTCCTCACTGCTCTAGAAGCTTCCAACTTAACATCAAGGTCATGGTCACCAGCTAGTTCACTCAAGCTTTCATGACCATATCTAATTCTCATTTTCTGTTTATCTCCGTCCTCTCTTCCCTCCAACCCTCATGTGCTCTCTTCTATAAATGTCTTTTCTCACCTGTTTTGAAGCACAGTAGAAAGCACACTACTAGTAATTTCATAGTAGTAGTAACTTTCAAGTTTTATTAATTTTTAAGATTCTATAATTCTTTTAATTTCTCAAAGGTGTTGTGGCGCAGAGAGTTGTTCTCTGGGCCACAGTGGAATGAAATCCTGAACTGAAGCTTCTGTTCCAATTCAACAAGTCGCATGAGCTGAGTTTTAGTTTAATGTATTCTCTCGTCTAACAAATGTCCAGAAACCTAGGTTGGTTACAGAGCAAAATAAGGTAGACAAGGCTGACTTAAGAACCAAGGTAAATTTAACTCAAAGGTCCCAGACATAAACATATACTAAATAAACCTATATTCTCTCGGGAATCTCTAAATGTTTTAGCTTAACAAACTCCTGGAGTTAAGAGCAGGTGATTTACCCAATCACTCTCAAATCATGTCAAAAAAAAAATCAATACCCCAAAGGAAAGTTGTTCTTTTTTTCCAGTGATGAATCCTTTGACATATAACTTTATATGGCTTTCCCCATTTTATGAGATTCCCTTCCTGTTCTGTCCTGTCCCACAGCAGCTGTACATTCAGGAGGTAAAAAGAAGCAAACCTCAATGTTTCACTGAGCTATGAACTTGACCATAAGAAATACTTCTCTACCACATCATTGTACCCACTTAAGCAAGAAGAGATAGAGAATTCTCATTTTTATCGCTGACTAATGGTTGTTGCTTGGATACATTACCCCTTTACCCTTATCTATTACTCTGGAGTTCTCGGACTCACTAAAATTTGATTTAAAATTGAAATGCTTTAGGGCAAACATCCATTTCAGGAAAGATGAAGTAGATATACCTTTCCTTATTCCTCCCACTATGTACATAAAAATCCTGGATATCATATGTAAAACAAACCTGAGAGAACTCTGTTTGTAGAATGGAGAAGAATGGAGAATGGAGAAGAAAGACTATCTAGGGACCTGGAGACCTGAGAAGCAACACAGTGAGGAGTTCCTTGGATTTCTTTTTGTCTCACATATCCCAGACAGGGTACTAGAGAAGACAGTGGTGTGGAAATACCAGTGGGCACAGAGGAGAAAAGCACCTAAGGAGGGGGCGCCTGGGTGGCTCAGTTGGTTACGCATCTGACTTCGGCTCAGGTCATGACTTCACAACACGTGGGTTCAAGCCCCGTGTCAGGCTCTGCTGTGACAGCTCAGAGCCTGGAGCCTGCTTCGGATTCTGTGTCTCCCTCTATCTCTGTCCATCCCCTGCTCATTCTCTCTCTCTCTATCTCTCTCTCTCTCTCTCTCAGAAATAAATTTAAAAACAAGCACCTAAGGAAAGCCTGCTCTTTCTCATCAGAGGAACAGAAAAGGAATAGCTTAACACAACAGAAAACTTTTAGGCAACAAATGATTTATTCTTGTCAACACCACAGAAAACACTGTGCCCTATCCCCACTTCTGCTAGCAATGGCCAAACAGAGAACTTTATCAGGCTACAGCAAAGCTCCCTAATCCCCAGGCTGGGTGGTGTTAGAGAAGGCCTAAAAGGGAGTCAGGACTTCCACTGATCCCAAACCCCAATGTCAATGTAATAAAAGGCCCGTGCCTTTCACAGACAAGCTGGTATCCATAGAGGCCTAGGCAGAGCTTGAACTTCCACTACCACTCATAAATAATGAGGATCCCCTCACCTGCACCACCCCCCCCCCCCCCCCGCCAGGTGTCAAGTGAGGGCCCGCCCACTTGAGCCCTGCAATTCCTTTTCTAATCTGAGGAGGCACCACACACCTTATCCCGCCATTGTGGTATCAGAGGCCTGCTAAAACATAAGATTTAAATAAGACCCGGAAGAATTCAGAAGAATTAATCCAACAATTAAGACTCAGAAAATCTCAAAAATTATTATAGTTTAAAAATTACCCATTCTCTTACCATGCTTCAAAATGGAATAAATTAAAAAAGACTTTTATGGAATGGGGTGGGGGGGGAGTTAGACTAAAGGGAGAGAAAGAAACCCAAGAAAATAAAAATCAAAAAGAACAAACAGAAAAAAATATACATAATGGCAAACTTAAGCCCTAACATAATAATGACATTAAAGGTAAATGATCTAAATATCCCTTAAAAGACAGAGTTTAACTTAATGGACAAAAAAGAAAAAAAAAAAGGGAACCAACCAGATGCCATCTACAAGGAACTAATTTCAAATATAATGATATGTTATAGTTAGTTTGAAAGAAAAGGAAGAAAAATACACCATGCAAACAATCAAAAGAAAGCAGAAATGGCTATATAATATCAGATTAAGTAGACATCAAAAAAGAAAAACAAAACAAAACAAAACAGAGCAAAACCGACCAGGGACACAGAGGAAATTACATAAAGATGGAGTCATAGTAATCCTAAATATGTATTTCCAAGCAACAGAACTGCAAAATACATAAAGCAAAAACAGAACTAAAAGGAGAAACAGAAAAATTGCAATTATAGTTGGAGACTTCAATACTTGTCTCTCATCAATTTATGGAACTAGACTGAAAATAAGCTAGGATATAGAAGAAATCAACAACAACAAATAAACATTATTTATTCCACATTTATGGAACACTCCACCCAACAGCAGCAGGTTACACATTCTTTTAAGCACCCAAAGAACTTACACCAAGATAACGTGACCACACAGAACCTCAACAAATTTAAAAGCATTGAAATTATACAGAGTATGATCACTAACCACAGTGGAATCAAACTAAAACATCAGTAACAGAAACAGAACAGGAGAATCTCCCAAGTGCCTGGAAACAAAATAATGCTCTTGGCTCAAAGAAGAGAGTCTCAAAGGAAATTACAACAAAACAAAACAAACAAACAAACAAAACACAAAAAAACACATTGAACTGAATGAAAATGAAAATACAACATATCAAAAACTTTTGTGCACAGCTCAGAGCTAAAGCAGTGCAGAAAGCACTGCTTTATAGCGTTATAGCCCTATAAACTATATAGCACTAAATCCTTACATTAGTAAAGAGAAGTCTCAGTCAACAATATAAACTTGCATCTAAAGAAACTGGAGAAGGACCTGAGTGGTTCAGGTGGTTAAGTGTCCAACTCTTGGTTTGGGCTCAGGCCATCATCTCATGGTTCATGAGTTCAAGTCCCATGTCGGGTTCTGCACTGACAGTGCGGAGCCTGCTCGGGATCTTCTCTCTCCCTCTCTCTCTCTGCTCCTCCTTCGTCAAGCCCCATCTTTCTTTCTCTCTCAAATAAATCAAACAAACAAAGAGGGTGGTGGGAGAATAGCTCATGTTAATAGACACATACCGAACTAACTGCGCTCTTCCGGGTTTAACAGGTGGCCCTGACCTTTCAGGTCTTCTTCTGTGTTTCTCCTCTTGGGGGTCTCTTAGTAGGCTTCTGTACCTAAAAACACATAAACTTTTCAAATTAATTTATGTGGATTAATTGGAAATTAAAAATAGAAATACATACAAATATTCCATCACTTTTATGCACCCAAGTGATGTTCTCCTAATACAGAAAACGGCTATGAGTTCCAGCCTCATCTGACACCTGAGACGTCCCTTCTGTCTCTCAGGCACAGCCACGTACTTTATGTAGTGGAGGAGCATGTGGTCCACTATGTCTTTCGTGAGGAACAGGTGCTAGGAACAGGCTGCCATCACTGTGGTGGCCCTGCCCTCTGTGCCTTCTACTAGCAGTGCCTACTGCCCTGGCTGAAAGCTGCCTCACACCCAGCACTACAGCAGGGCCCGTATCGGTTTTCCAGGTATTCCCAGGTTGAGCACAGTCCTTGGCACATAGTGAGTTTGCACTAAATTGTTGTTAGGTAATTTCCTGATTGAAAAACGTAAGCACGTGGGCAACGCAGTTTTTTAAAAATTCACCTTCCAGGTAACAGAGCAGCCCATGTATTTGTCATTTTCAGACTCAAATAGTCACAAAGACCAAACACCTCAAAATTGAGAATTAGAGGAGCAAGAGTGTCTCCTCTTTCCACAGGACTCCTTCCCTCTGCTCTCTGGGTTTGTAGGCGAAATGCAATCACCCAGTGGTCCTCAGAATCCCTGCCCAATCAGGTGACATGAAACTTGTAAGCCTATTTGCTAATTTAAAAAGTGCTCTAGGCACTTCTGACTGCTCTGATATTTACATAAGGCTGGTCCTTAATCTGTGCTCTGGCACCTATTTATAGATGGCCCAAAATGGAACTAGTTTTGTATATTTCAGAATTCAACAAACCAGTGTCTACTTTACTTAGGCTTGTTAATATTTACTAGCCTTTCTATAGTATTTACTTAAAGTTCTGTTAATGACAAGACATTATCTCTATCAAGATTTCCCTAATTAACTCCACATAATTTTAGTCATCCTAAATGCTCCTAGCACTTACTTAATCAGGTCCCTACAACTATGTTTACATTGCTCCTGAGATGTCTCCATGTGTTTTCTCATCTTTTTCATGCGCTATTTTCCCTAACTTACTGAGTGAATTGTGTTCTTCCCTTCCCTTCCGGTGCCCACATATAAACCTTATTCACATCAAATCCTTCTACTTGGTATATGAAGAGGAGTAGGGAGAGATCCACTTGCATTACGGAGGGAATGTAAATATCTACTCTAGTACTTTCCTGCTATGACATAAACTTATGTGAAAAACTAGGCAAATGTTACTGAGGATGTATCAGAAAACCCATCACGCAAATTTCCACATACTCTTTGAAACGAACGGTAGCCTTCCAGCTTAAACTTGGCTCTAATCTCTTGGTCATTTGACTCTTCCCAAAATTAATTTGGTTCTTCTCCAGTGTTCTCTTGCCTGAACCAGTAATAGCTTTCTGAACGGGGGCTGCTTCTTCCTTCTCAGGTGGCTCATTAGTTGGTTCTTTCTTTTCCTTTTTGTCGCTGAATCTCTTCTCCTTTATTTAAAAAAATAATAATTTTTATAATGATATCATTTCTGAATTATCTAGTGCTATCTGAAAATTAACACTGGTGGTAACTTCACTAAAGGAAGTCTCTGATGCATCTAACTTGTGTTGCTTAGTGGCACACATTGGATGAGGGCCACTTCAGGACTGAGGTCTCTAACAGAGCTAGGCTGATAGTAATGGATGTTCCTAAACTCACCCCCTGCTGTAGCACACACAGATCCAATAGCTGCATTTGACCTACTCACTCCTCGCCACTGTCAGAAAAATGTAAACTCAAATGCTATAGTGACTGGGACACATCATGCACAAATTGCTGAAACTACGGATAAAGAGAATATCTTGCAGGGAGCCAGAAACAAAAGTCACATGACAGACAGAGGGAGAAACACAACAATTAAAAGAGACCTATCAGAAACAGTGCAAGCAAGAAGAAAAGAGAATGATACCTTTAAAGTCCAAAAAAAAAAAAAAAAAAAAAAAAAAAAATCCAAGGAACTGCCAAATCAAAATTCTAAACAGAGACAATTGGAGGGGTATTATGACTAATCCATGAAGTTGAAGATAGAACAACAGAAATTACCCAATCTGAATAACAAAGAGAAAATTGATTGGAAACAAAAATGAATAGAGCTTCAAGATCTGTGAGACCAAAACAAAAATTCCAAAATTCATGTCCTCAGAATAACAGAAAAAGAGGAGGAAGAGGGTGAGATTAAAATTTATTCTAACATGATTTGAATTTTCCCTAAGTTAGAAAAAGACATAAATCTAAGATTCAAAAAGTTGAAAAAATGCTAAACAAACTCAAGAAAAACTCAAAGAAATCCATGCCAAGACACATAATAATCAAACTTCACAAACTAAAGACAAGGAAATTCTTAACAGCAGTTGAGAGAGAAACAATATTTTACTTATAAGAGAAAAACAATTAAAATAATAACAGATTTCTCAAAAGCAACCAGGGAAGACAGAAGGAATTCAAACAACATTTTTTTAAGCACTGAAAGTAAAGAATTGTCAGCCTGATACTATATCCAGGGTAAATATTCTTTAGAAATGAAGGGGATGTCAAGAAGTTCTTGGGTGAAAGAAACACGAAAAAATTTGTGGATGAAGGAAAAACGAAGAGAATCTGTCATCAACAAATTTACCTTAAAAGGGTAATAAGTTCTTAAACAGAAAGACTGTGATAAAAGAAGAAAACATTGCAATATCAGAAAAGAACAATGGAAAAGAATAAAAGTGTGGGTAAATACAAAAGACGTTCATTCAGCTCTTGATTTTTCTAAATGAAGTTTGATGGTTGAAACAAAAATATAACATTGTCTCATATATTTATCAATGTATGCAGAAGAAATAAAGACAATTATAAATTAGAGAGGGTAAAGGGACTTAAAAGAAAATATGGTTTATTTTTTTTACTAAAGTTGTATTTATTTTTTCAGTCACATCAGTGTAATAGTATTACAGCTTTTATAAGAAGTTTATGTTGAAAGAGAAATGACATATTCTCATAGAGTAAATTTGTAAAGGAAGAATATGTCGACAGCTTTTCTTTTTGTGACATACCAGGAGTTGCAAAGGATTGAGGCATATACAATTATTGTTTGAAGGAGACATGGTTTCTATGTTTCACTCAAACTGCTATGATGTCAAACAATAGATAATTATTAATTATGTATGTATAATATTGTACAATACCCAGAGTAACTCCACACACACACAAAATCTATGCAAAGAGATACACTAAAAACACTGCGGATAAATCAAAATAGAATTCTAAAAAATGTTCAAGTAATCCATAGAAACTGGAAAAAGAAAACAAATGAAAAATAGAAGAACAGAAAACAAAAGTAAACTGGCAAGTGTAAGCCATAACATATCAATATTAAATGTAAATGATCTAAACACATCAGTAGATACACCAATAGAAAGTTTCACAAATTTCTTTTTTTTTTTTTTTAAACATTTTTTTTTTCAACGTTTATTTATTTTTCGGACAGAGAGAGACAGAGCATGAACGGGGGAGGGGCAGAAAGAGAGGGAGACACAGAATCGGAAACAGGCTCCAGGCTCTGAGCCATCAGCCCAGAGCCTGACGCGGGGCTCGAACTCCCAGACCGCGAGATCGTGACCTGGCTGAAGTCGGACGCTTAACCGACTGCACCACCCAGGCGCCCCACAAATTTCTTTTTAAAATGACTCAATTATGGGGCGCCTGGGTGGCTCAGTCGGTTAAGCATCCGACTTCGGCTCAGGTCATGATCTCGCGGTCCGTGAGTTTGAGCCCCACGTCGGGCTCTGTGCTGACAGCTCAGAGCCTGGAGCCTGTTTCAGATTCTGTGTCTCCCTCTCTCTTTGCTCTTCCCCTGTTCATGCTCTGTCTCTCTCTGTCTCAAAAATAAATAAATGTTAAAAAAAATTTTTTTTAAAAATGACTCAATTATATGCTATTTAAAAGAAACATCAGGTGGTTCAGTCGGTTAAGTGTCTGACTCTTGGTTTTGGCTCGGGTCATCATCTCCTGGTTTGTGAGTTTGAGCTCCACATGGGACTCTATGCTGACCGTGTGGGGCCTGCTTGGGATTCTCTCTCTCTCCCTCTCTCTGTCCCTCCTGTGCTCTCTTTCTCTCTCAAAATAAATAAATAAAAACTTAAAAAAAAAAACTCACTTCAAATATAATAATATAAATATAAGTAGCTTGAAAGTAAAAGGAGGGGAAAGATAGAACATGCAAATATTAGTCAAAAGAAAGCAGGAGTGGTATAAAGTTATCAGATTAAGTAGACTTCAGAAAAAGAAAAACAACCAAGGAGAGAGAGGGAGAAAACAGCAATCTTAAATGCACATACAGAGTTGCAAATAAAAAAAAACAGAACTAAAAGAAAAATTAGACAAATCCCCAGTTATAGTTGAAACACTTCAAAACCTCTCTCTTGACAACTGATAGAATATCAACAAGAATATGGAAGAACTTACCACCAAAACCACATGATATAATCCACAAAGTAAAAAGAAAAGAAGAAATAATAAATACCAAAGTAGAAAAAAAATAGAGAAAATCAATGAAACTAAAAGCTAAGTCTCTGAGGAAACTGAAAATCAATACACCTCTATCCAAACAGATCAAGAAAAAATAAAACACCAATGACCAGTATCAGGAATGAGAGAGATAACAATAGCTACGTATTCTACAGACATTAAAAGATTAATAAAAGAATAACTTAAAAAATTTTTTAATGCTTATTTATTTTTGAGACAGAGAGAGACAGAGCACAAGTGGGGAAGGGGCAGAGAGAGAGGGGGAGACACAGAATCTGAAACAGGCTCCAGGCTCCAAGCTGTCAGCACAGAGCCTGACGTGGGGCTCGAACCCACGAACCGTGAGATCATGACCTGAGCCGAAGTCAGACACTTAACCGACTGAGCCACCCAGGCGCCCCAATAAAAGAATAACTTTGAACAAGTTTATGCCAATAAATTTGACAACTTAGATAAAATGGAAAAATTCCTATAAAGACAATCTACCGGGGCATGTGGCTGGCTGTTGGTAGAGCATGTGGCTCTTGATCTTGGGGCTGTGAGTTCAAGCCCTGCACTAGGGGTAGAGATTACTCAAAATAAAAATAAAATGGTTAAAATAGCAAAGGTTATGTATGCTTTACACCAGTGGAAAATTTTTTTTAATAAAATAAAGACAATCTACCAAAGCTCCCTCAAAAAGAAATAGATAACCTGCATGGCCCTATGACTATTAAAGATGTTGAATCTCTTTTTAAAAAACTTACTTTACATAGAACACTCCAGACCCTGATGGCTTCGGTACCAAATATTTAAGAAATAATAACAATTCTACACAAACTCTTACAGAAATTGCAGAGGAGATAAAACTTCCCAACTCATTCTATAAGGCCAGTATCACTTTGATAACCAAAACCAAAGGTATTAAAGAAAATGACACAGCAACAACCTTATAAATATAGATGTGAAACTAAAAATCTTAGCAAGTTAGATCCAATCATATATAAATAGAGATACTACATCCTGAACAACCTACATTCCAGAAATGTAAGGTTAGTTTATTTTTTGAAAACTCATGTCAATGTAATTTACTACATTAACAAACTAAAAAAAGAAAAAAACCCATGATTATCTCAAAAGGTAATCATTTGATAAAATCCAACATCTATTTCTAATAAAAGTTCTTAAGGGAACTTCTTCAACCTTATAAATTTAATATGTGAAAAAGCTACAGCTAACATTATACGTAGTAGCAACTGAAAGCTTTCCCTTTACCACTAGAAACAAAAGACCTTTTCTAAATAATTCTATATTGGAGGCTCCAGCTAGGGCATTAAGGAAAGAAAAAAAGGCACTGATATTGGAAAGGAAGAGGCAGAATGATCTTTATATACAGATCATATGATCCTCTATAGAAACTCCCCGGGATCTACAAACCAGACACTAGAACTAATAAGTGTTTCAGAATATAAAATCAATATATAAAAACCAAGTGTATTTTGAGTGGCAACATATAATCACAAATTGAAAATCTGAAACTACCATTAACCATATAGCCCTTGTGAAATAAAAACTCAATAAGTAAGTGTGAAGATCTAACTGGCTTTATTTTTTTTTTTAAATTTTTTTTCAACGTTTATTTATTTTTGGGACAGAGAGAGACAGAGCATGAACGGGGGAGGAGCAGAGAGAGAGGGAGACACAGAATCGGAAACAGGCTCCAGGCTCTGAGCCATCAGCCCAGAGCCTGATGCGGGGCTCGAACTCATGGACCGCGAGATCGTGACCTGGCTGAAGTCGGACGCTTAACCGACTGCGCCACCCAGGCGCCCTCTAACTGGCTTTATTAACGGATTCATGAATGCAGCAACATCCCATCTGGTAATTAGAGAGATGCTCCACTGAGGTAAACAAAAGAAAAGTTTTTAAAGGCTGAAAGAACATTTTAAAAAAGGGACTTGAC